TTTTTTTTTTTTATTCAAAGAAGGTGACATTATTTTTCCGAATTGTTTGGTTTTTGTTTTCGTAATTGTGATGTGGCTCTTGCTTAGCTGACCTCATCTGAGCTGCTGATGCACTCTCATGCTTTCATGGAGTGGAGAACCGATTCTAGGGCAGAGGGATAGCAAATCTTTAAAACATGGGGAACCAGTTGTGGTAATCTACAATGATGTATTATGTGCTTTTCCCTTAATTCTGCAAAACCACTTAATGCTGGGTTACATATCTCTCTTTTTATGAATTTAGTCCTCCTCAGAGTGAAGCTTCCCCGGTGGCTTCTCCAGATCCCCAGCGCCAGGAGTGGTTTGCCCGGTACTTCACATTCTGAAAGAATTGTGTTGGCACAGCTCTGTGTGGACTGTTACTAAGAGCATGACTTTATACAACTCATTATGTGAACAGGCTTTCCTATGTCAAACACTGTGAATGAGAAAGTATTTGTCTCTCCAATTTGAAAATGCACTGTATTTCCTGTGATATTTATTGGAATCACTCTATAAGGTACTATATTATGTGTGTAATTATAACTATTTTTATTTGAGATGGAAGAGTCTTTAACCTTTGTAATTACTGCATAATAAATTTTGTTAGAACAAACAATAATGTTTTTCATTTTTTTCTAATAAGTTTGCTTTAATTTTTGAATACTTTTTAATTACAGGTAAGACTTGCCAACAAAAAAAGTTTTATTGCATTAATAATCACATAATATCAAATTATTTGACTTCAATAATCAATCAAATTTAGTTGATTCAGTAATGTAGATTTTAGAAGAATCTGGGTGAACTAGATAAATGCAAACATAACACGTGATCTATGTTTCAAGGGAAAAATCCCAAACTCCGTTAAATGACTTAAAGAGGTTTATTTTCAACCAAATATGTGTGACCAAGGCCTGGGGAACTATGCCCAAGAAGTCTTGAGCAGGTGGTCCTGAGGTGGTTGGGTTATAGTTCGGTTTTATACATTTTAGAAAGACAGGAATTGCAAGTAAAATCATAAATCAATACATTGGTTTGGCCCAAAACTGTGGGACAGCTGGAAGCAAGGGCTTACAGGTTATAGGTGGGTTCAAAGAGTCTTTGATTTGTAATTGGTTAAAGAAATGAAGCTTTGTCTAAAAGCATATAAAGTAAGGAAGTAAGATAAGGAAGACTGTTAATCACAGACAAGCCGCAGTATACCAACTCAAGTGATCTGTTAAACAAATTGATGGCCTGCAGGCAATTTAAGCTTTTCTCTGCACAGCCTTAGGTCCTGTTAATAATTTGGTATCTTATTATCTGCGGTGTCCCTTCCCTTCATGGGCAAGAACTCAGTTCTAAGGCTTCTCTGGGGTCCCCTTGGCCATGAGGGGGGAGTTAGGATTTTAGTTCATGTATGAATGATTATAATACTATTAAAGACAACCTTGTAAAATAATTACTATGTATTAGGCATTGTGCTAAGGAGCAGTGTAAGGGTTATCTCATTTAATCTTTATAAATCATCAAGGAATAAATCATTGCATGCATACGCACAGTTGGTAGCATGTTCTTTGGCAAGCGATTATCCTGAAAAAAATTTTTCTGTAAAATACTTGCTTTACATTTGTTTTTTTTCCTTTAACTAAGGGATTGAACTTTCTAATTTTAGTATATGTGCTGCCAAAATTAGCACAAGGATTGAACTTTCTAGGAAAACTGATTAGTGAATGCTTATCCAAAAATAATTCTTGTTATAAGCACATATTCTTGCCTTAGTTTATACATTCATAATTTGGACATTTACTGACCAAGTATTTGTGCATTAGTACGCGTGCAGGTGACTAAGCTAGATATAGGCATACAAAGATGGTGAATACCTATCCTCAAGGAGCTAACTGTATCCTTGCTGAAATAGTCCAGAACCAAGTGTTTCTTAAAGCACTTTTAGAAGAGCTACAAAAGAGAATTATGGAGGATACAATGGGAGCAGAGGAGGAAGTAATTAGCTGAAAGTGGTGGCAGGGGAAGCTTGACATATAAGGAGTATCCAAATACAATCCTGAAAGATGAATGAATTACCAGATAGACCAGGGCAGAGCCTATTCCAGGCACAAGCTGAAACAAGAGTTAAGAAAGAGCAAGTCAGCTGTGTCCAGAGAACTCTGTGCAATCCTGCTGGACCAATATGTAGGATGTATGTGGGCATAATAAGAGAACAGCATTTCTTGAGCAGTTACCATGTATCAGACACTTCTTTTTTTAAAAAAAAGACAGGGTCTAGCTCTGTTACCCATGCTGGAGTACAGAGG